TCTACAGGCGCCTGGAACTGTGCGAATCGGTTTCAAGGGGAACCCCTGGTTGGTGGTTTAAAAATCACCTTTTCGGCCACTACAGTGGATCTCCCTTGGGTTGGGGGAGCATATGGATATGCAGCATAAAAGCATATATGTATATTTATATGTTATGTTATATACAGAATGTTATGTGTTATGTTATATGTGTCTATTTGTTGATTATATAGATAAATGCATATCATGTGCCCGCATACATGGCGAATGAAAGGGGACCTAATGCGCAGTCCGGAGCTCGGTCATCGGCAATTGTCTCTCCGGAACCTCGGCATATTCCCAGCTTTGCAGGCTATCTTTTGTGGGATGGCCACCCCCTGCAAACATGATCCTTTCATCATGGGGGCTGGGGGGAAGGGAGGGGAGGGGGAGGGAGCCCTAACTAAGGCTTTATTAAGGGCTTAATAGGGGCTTATTGTAAACGCTTCGCGTTGCCCGCCTCGGCCCAGCCTAGTTTGAGGGAAGGGTCAGGAACACCGAAATCCAGTGTTGGGAAGGTCCGAATACCTGAAGCTGGCTTCAGACAAGTCAGACAAGCCGGCCTCGCCTGGTTGGGCTGGGCCACAGGCTAGTCTCAGACACATCAGATAAGCCTGCGCTGGGCCTGAAGCTAGTCTCGGGCAGCTTGGCTGGACCTTGCTTGCGGGGGTTGTTGGTTGAGCTGAAGCTAGTTTACGGCGGGCTGGGCAGCCGCACTGAGGGGGCTGGGCTATGGCTGGGCTGGGCCTGAGGCCAGTTTCAGACACGTCAGACAGGCCTGGCCAGCAGGCGGACTGGGCTGGGCTAGACGCTAGTTGAGCCCAGGCTGGTGAGGCCCAGTCTCGCCGCTAGATAGGCTGAGGCCTGCGAGTCTCAAACCGGGTGGGCTTGGGTGGGGTTGGCTTAGGCGGGTTGCTGGTTGGGCTGGGCCTGAAGCTAGTCTCAGCCACGAGGCTGCGAAGCCATGGGTGGTGCTGGGCAGCTGGATTATGGTGTTGGTTGCGCCTGGATGGGCTGAGCTGTGCTTGGGCGGGTCGCTGGATGGGCTGAGGCTGGGTAGCGAGTTGCTGGCTAGGCTGGGCCTGAGGCCAGTCGCAGACACGTAAGACACGCCAGCAGGCGGGCTGAGGGACTGGGCCTGAGGCTAGTCTCAGGCTGGCATACCTTGAGACCAGTCTCAGACTGCGCGGAAGGGGCCTGGTCAGCCTGGGCTGCTGAGTAGCTGGCATAGCTTGAGACCAGTCTCAGACTGGTCGTTGGCCTGAGGCCAGTCTCAGACACGTTAGACAAACCACACTGGGCTGAGCCTGCTGGGCTGGGAGTTGGGGGCTGGTAGTGGCTGGCATGCTCTGAGATGCGCTGGGGCCTGGGCTGGGCAGGCTTTTGGGCTGGGCCTGAAGCTAGTCTCACACAAGGCTGCGAAGCCATGGGTGGGTTGCTGGCTGCCGGGCAGCCGGACCAGGCTGCTGGTTGTGCCTGGAACTTGGGCTGGGCGGGATGGGCTGAGCTGTGCTTGGGGCGGGTTGCTGGATGGGCAAGGCCTGTTTCATACACACTTGGGCCTGAGGCTGGGTGGCGAGTTGGCTGGGCTGGGCCTGAGGCCAGTCGCAGACACGCCACACTTTGAGACGGGGCCTGCTGGCTGATTTGGGGCCAGACGCGAGCAGGAGGTCAAGGTCTGGCCAGCCTGGGCTGAGTTGCTTGGGCAGCCGGACTGAGGGCTGGGCCACGTCAGACGGGCTTGGTGGCTGGCATAGCTTGAGACCAGTTTCAGACACCGTTGGCCTGAGGCCAGTCTGAGACACGTTAGACAAACCTGACCTTGGGGCCGGCCTGGCTGGGCTGGGCTTGCTGGATGACTTGGGGTAGGCCTGAAGCTTGGGCCTGAGGCTGGTGGGCTTTGGGCTGGGCCTGAGCCTAGTCTCAGACACGTCAGGCAAGCCTGGCCACCAGGAGGTCATGCTTTTCAGGACAAAAAAGCATTTTTAGCAATTGTCAGCACATTTTCGACAAAAATGGACCCATGGAGCTGGACGCCGACGAACCCCGAAAATTTCAAGGCCCGCCGGACAGGATTTTGGGTCCAGCCGACATGGGTTGGGGGGGGCGGCCCGGCAAAATTTTGGTCGGGGAGGGGGTTGGGGGAGGGGAAAAGCGAAGATTCTCTTTGGAGAAGAGATCTGAGCGCCCTTGGCCCCTTTGGGGCCGAGGCGAATTTTTTTCTCGCGAAGATGGCGGTTTCCGGAACAAGGAATTTCAGACAACTGTCATTTTGATTCCGACTCAAGTAGGAACCTTTGGTACCGGGTTTTCAAGTAGCCCCGCGTTGCCCCCGGCGCAACGATGCTTTGTGCTAGTCTTTTTAAAAACCAGGTTTCGGTTGTGCGACTTGGGCCTTCTTGGATGGTTTGACAGGTCTACAATGGGAAACACTGGCTTAGCATGTGGGATCGTTTAGCCGAGCTTTAGGTTACACCATGCAAGACAAGCAGGGCACTACACCGACAATCAGACCAGTGAGGTACCAGTACTGGTTTGCGGGTAGTGGAAACCATACCAGAATATAATTGGCTTCCAGAACAAGGCTGACCCTAGAGAAACCAGGGGGGAGGTTATGGAAGGGGGCTTGCGGGGGTTGGAATCCTACAAATTGGGAATTCCCTGCCATCCCCTGTGACTTTAAGATGTTTAGAGTTCAGAAGGCTTTCTGACGTTATCCCACTAAAAGTAAACACATTTTAGGAAGGATGTATTAACGAAGACCCAGCATGTTTTGTGGGGCCTCCGGGATGTGAACCCGGCAGGACGTGAACCGGGCGCCGTATCCCTACCCCACGGAGGAGGAGGACGAAGAGGTGCCCAAGTCCGACGAGCAGCGTGCCCAGGAGATGTGGGAGCTGCACAAGAGGCGCCCGAGTCAAAGGGCTTCTTATAGAGGGTCCCTTAAAAGCCTTAAAAGGATACCTTGGGCCAAGTTCCAAATCCATGGATCGCAGGCGCAGCGACTCCCAGATTGTGGACCTCTTCCAGTTCCTTGGCACGCTTTGGACGAGACGGAAAGGTTCGGCGCTACGGCGGTTGCTTTTTGCCGTCCACTTGTGCCGTTTGGTGGTGGAACCTGCTCGTTTACGGGAATGTATTTGATGTTCCAGTTTACGAGCTTGGCAATCAGTTTGAGGTTGTTTTGCACGGGTCTTCAAGAGGGGATGAGAGAGATGGGGTCGAGGGGGTGGGCCATGTGGCTGCAGCGTTGACAAGCACAGATAAAACAAGGCCGATCTTCTTTCCTTTGGGCTATCCTTTTTGGTTCATTGTTAGTCGAGGTCCCAAAAGATTAACCTTTTATTTCCGGGTCCTTTGGGAGATTCCATCCCCACGGTAAAACTCACAGGATCATTTCTCACAACTCAGGAACGCAGCGAATTGTTCGCTTGTGTGCTTGGGCGAATCGTGTCACGGGCAATCCTTGGAACGATCCTGGGACTTGAGAGGAAGTCAGGTACAGAGATCGCAGCTTAGCAAAGTTGGGCTAACTTTCTACGGAATTTCCTGTGTACGTTGATTTCAAACTACCCCCACCAACAAGGGCATATGCAGCCACTATACACTTGGCTCCTGGGGTAGTGATTTGGGTGCTGTGGAAACCATCTTAGAACTGCCATGGCTGGTTTCTTAGAATGCAAGCCACCCGTCGCAGGTTCCAGATCCGATCAGAGCTGACGTGCCCTGTGTGTTCCACCGTGCCGCCCGGCTTGCCAATGGGGGTGTGGCTTGCCAGACCACACCACAACTTCTCTTTGCACAGATGGCCCCTGCGGGTCTGGGACACGCGTGAAACCCTGCGTTTGGTGGCCCCCTGAAATCTTCTTAAGCAGGTGTCAAACTAGAGCACCCATGAACAAACTGTAGGCCTGCAGTGGGCTTATTTGGCATGTGAATCCGTAGTTCCCATGACCGTGCCAGTGCCAAAAAGCCCAACACATGTTGATTTCCACTGAAGGACACCACAGGCAGATGGATGACTTTGCTTCAGTTTGTCCAGACCCCGCTATTTGGCACCGTTCCAGTACAACCCTTTCCAAACCCTGGTAGCACCCTTTTAAGGTCCATAAAACAGGAGGCTTCAAGCAGTCAACCCCATTTTGAGACCCATGGGGTGCCAATGGGTTTTGGTCACCATTTGGGTATCTTGGGCAATCTACGTTGGTTGTTTTTTAGTGCCGTCATGTGAAGGTTGTTTAATAAAAAGGGGTACCAACAGGAAGCCGGGCCCCCATTTGCCGGGGGGAGAGGGGGGGGTCCGTTACATTGCTTGGCAACGAACCTTTCAAGGCTACGTCGTGTTTTTTTGCAGAGCCCTGAATAGAGCACCTAGAATGCGTTCGCGCCCCAAAAAATCACCGAAAGGTTGAGTCTTGGGTCTATAGCGGTAAATTCCCCATTCTTGCCTGGGATCCTTTTCGGGGAAACCAAGCCCTCCACCTCTTCAGTTCAACCATTTCAAACCCGTTTGGACCGCCCCGTTTAAGCTCCTGAAAGCAAGACAGGCTTCCACTCGCACTGAACCCGTTGACCTTTGGTCTCCCCAAAAACAGGACAGGCTTCCAGCTCTCCAAGTGACTGGGTTGAGGAGTGTCACCTTCGACCCCATCATGTACCTCACGCTGCCGGTGCCGAAGCCTCCGCACTCGGTGAGCCTCACGCTGGTCGGCTCCGACTTCCAGCCGAGGCACATGCAGCTGGAGGCAACGCCGTTTCGTGCCCGACGGCAAAACACCGCCCGATGGCTTCCAAATGAGGGGTCCTAGATCAAGGAACATCAAGGAACAATCGATTCTTTTTGTTGGCCTGAGCAAATTGTGTGGCATGAAAGGTTGGTTCCATGCCAGAATCCCGTGCAGAGGTCAACCCGGAGAAGCAACCCAAAAGCCTACCCCTTCTTCGGACCCGAATCTCCTTTTGGGGGGTGGACCCCATTTGGGTTCCTCCTGTCAATTTAGAGGGGACTAATTAGGCAAATCCTTGTATGGTCCTGGCTTGGTCATAGCTTGGTCTTTAAAGAAACAATACCAGAGTTTGAATGATTTGAACGAGTTTGAACACGTACTTGGCTCGAAGCCCTCCCTCCATCGGCGCGGGAGGAAGGGATATAATGTTTGTCTCTTTCAAGATGTGAAGGCGGGGTTGTATAGACGCGACGCCCACTTGCTTCGGGATAGAGTTTGTTGTGCTTTTTCCAGCTGGCTTTTGGAGGGCGATGGTCATGACCGGTAAATAGTTGTCATTGTATAGCGGCACCTCAAGCAGATACTCTTTTGCATCTTTGGCAGATCGCCATGAAACGCAAAGGCCATCATGTTTAGAAAGACATGGACCCCCTTGTTAGGTTCCTTGTCAACTTGCAGGGGAGTACGTGATGACTAACTGGGGGTCTAGGGGTACGGTTGTGGACAAATGGTGTTAGGGCCACTTCCTGTAATGCCAATCCTTTAAAGTGGTTAAAGCATGGGGATGGGAATCCCACTTAGGTAGGTGTGTATGGCTCGAGGCCGGTATCCATAGCGCGTCCATGGAGCCAAAAGCATCCCGATCCCCTTGATTTGAAAGTTAAAAAATTTGCGTTGCTGATTTTCATCTTTGTTGTTAGCAGCTTTGGGGGAGAGGGGAGGCTGCCTGCATAGAAAGTCAGTGTTTGACTGCTCTTGGGTGCGACCTTCAACGCTTGACCGTATGGAAAATGACAATGTCTCACCAACTGGCACAAAGTGTGTACAGAGGGTCCTTGAGACCGTCAAAGTCAAAGACCACCCGGTGTTCGCTACCAGTTGAATGTCACGAGCCTCCCAAATTCGAACTTTGCTTTCAATTTTTACTCGCTTCGTGCGTGGCTGCTTGAGGTATCATGAAGGGGTCAATTGGGGGGTGCATCCCTGGAGAAACCTGGGATCAGCCCTGAACAAGTCTTTACTACGGGGTTTAACAGACGACTATACCGTACCCGCATGCTCCCTCCGCCCTGAAGTTCCATGAAAGTTCCTAACCCTCCTTTCGCAGTATATAGGGATCCTTGGAAAATGCCTAGTGTCGGAGAAGCATGAGGGAAGATCATGGGCAATCAACCCCTTGGACATACCTTTTTGCCCTGTCACCTGTTGTCGACATCAGGGCCCCCCATTGGGCGGCATTAGGGTCCAACTTGGCAGGTGGACAGGGGCGCCAGCATCGATCAGCTGGAGACGGCGCTCTGGAAATACCTGGGTCGGTCCCCCACTGAGAAGCCGTCCTGCTTCTGCTTTGGGGACGCTCCTTGGCTCGTTGTTTCAGAAGCCTTGGGACGTTTTTGCTTTGTTCCGACCAACAAAAGAACCCCTCTGAATTGCCAGATTTAGTTTTCTGTTTTGATTTTCTTTTGTTTCCTTTCTACCTGAGAAAAGCTAGCTTGTTGCTGCAGTTCTGAGTCTGGCCCCTTGGCGGCCCCCTATTTTCCAGTGTGATGTGCTGTTTTTTTGCACAACCGCTCCAGTTTCTGACAATTGCATGGCTCATGATTTCAGCAGGCAGGATGGTCGTCTTCCAAAAGAGGTCCGTGCACCACGCCGGGTGAGAGACCTTAGGTGCCGAAAACGCCTTCTGGTATAGGAGAAACCATGGCTGAATTGTTAGGGTTGAACATTGAGGGGAAGCCAACTGGAGGCTTCCATCTTTGGGCTGTTTGTTGGGGGGACTGCAGGTCTGCTACGGGCGCATCTACAAGCACTTCGAGCCTCACAACTACGTGAGCGAGATCCGGAGCACCGACAACATTTTCGCCTTCGAGGCATCGACTCGGGAAATTTGAGTGGCAGCTGGGATACGGCCCCAAAGGCCTTGGGTAAATGGGGCTCCTTAGCTTGCTACAGTTGTTAATCATAGTCCCTTCCCCTAAGATCTATGGCCAGTTGTGAAAACTCCCTCATGGACATGCTCCCTTTAATAAATTTCAGAGGATATGTTTGTTTTCCAAGTGCCTTTCAACCGGTGCTCCGTTAGTGGCCCGTTTCCGAAAACCCTATTCTGTAAAGTCCTCGGTTTGAGCGTAGGGATGGCTTCTTCAAAGGGCAGCACAGCTCTGAGTGGTTCTCCCTACATTTCCCGCTTGACATAATCCTAAAACGAAACTCACCTGAACTGAGCCCCAAAGGCAACTTGTTGCAACCACCAAATGGAGATATGGAGCTTGTTTTTTGAACGGGGAATCCCTAGAAGACAAGAATCAAGGGTGGACTCCACTAGTTGCAGCTGGTTCTAGGCTGAACTGTCCTTTGGCCCAACGGCACTATGGGATCGAATGCCAACCCTAGGTTTGCGGCCGATCTGGGGCAGGTACCTGGAGGGTTCAGGGAGTTTCTGGGGGTGTTGGTTTTCATGGAAGTTTGGTGAACAAAAAAACAAGAAACCGATCATGTTAGGGGTGTTTTATTTGTGAAAACACCAACATTGTGTAAGCCAACCGACCGCACAAACATGTCAAATGGGAGGGGTCCTTGTTCCCCCGCACGCAAGAAGAAGGGCAATCGACAGCATGTTCTGTGAAAGTGAGCTCTTGAAAGGCAACCATCGTGGGAGGAGTCCCAAGCTTGTTTTGATTCCAGATACCCGGGCAAACCAAAAAGAACTACTTGACGTGGGCCAAAACAAAACCTTAGCGTAAGCAATACCATCGCCACCTACCAAACCTCAACTACCCAGGTTTGATCGCGGCTACATCCTTCCCAGCGCACGTTTTCATGCCAGGGTTACCTTTTTGAGTCCAGGTGGAAACACAGGCAACCCCGCTAAAGTGTTGTCCCGGCCCTGTAGTTTTGGTTGATACCTCGGAGCAAGCCTGGATTCAGGGTATCTTGCCTGGCAAGAGTTTGACCACTCATGCATCCAAATTATTGGCGAGATCAATTCAGCTTCACCGTGTCTGTGCGAGATGCTGTTGCTTGCCTGCCGGTAGGAGGCATCACAAAAGTCCTTGTGTTGGGGAGGAAGTTTAGTACCTGTCAAAGGTAGTTGGATTCTAGATGCTTGGCGACTCTTCCTTTTTCATCCTGCTCCACCAAATTGGCTTTGTCTTCACCCATGCTTCAGAACCCCCCCCCCCTCCCAGATGTTGTTCTCATGTTCTGAAGAGAAAACTCCCTGAGGATAACTGGGAAGGTATGCGAAGGTACGGCTAGATTCTGACAAGCCACAGCCTTTGCAAGGTCCAGAAAACACCAAAGCCCACAGTCCCGCACTGGCATGTTTCGCCCTTTTGAAACCTGCCATAAACAGAATGCCTGCCTGAAGTCTCCAAAACTTTCAACACGGAGCGACGACCCCTTGATTATGGTACATGGCTCTGTTTTGGTGGTGCCCTCTTCTCTTGGTTTCCCTTGCAGCACCACGCAAAGGAGGGTCCCTGAGTTTAGAACAACCTTACTTTCCAAGGGTTGAACAAACATTTCAGGCACCTTCTAATGCAGAATATTCAGACTTGCACCGGCTGAAGCAAATCTGACTAAGCCAATACCTTTGAATATAGAAGTTCAACCAGTAAAACCACTGCTATGCCGCTGGACGTCAGGTGCCGCTGGCGCCGGAGGTGGCGGTGAGCGATCACACCTTTGTGCCCTTGGTGTACCGGAAGCGCACGAAGCCCACGATGACGTCCAGAGAGCCCCTCTGATGCAGCGGAGCTTCACAGCCCTTTGTTTTTTGGAGGAGTTTTGTAGAATGTGTCAGACAATCCCCAAAATGGCCATGATGTAGTTGGTGTTTATGGTTTACAGTAGTGGAGGCATCCCAAAATTAAGTCCGCCGTCCTTGTCAGGGATCCTCTCAAGGGCCGCAAGGGTTAGTTAGTATGCACAAACAGACCTTTTTGAGGCATTACTTTAATATACTAGGTGCTTAAGTATATCAAGATGCGTGCGCTTGCCTTTCAGGAGTAGCGTACTCATGAAAATCAATGACATGGTTTCATTGATGCTGAACATCTTGGCCTTTCCAGGTTCCAATGTATTCAAATTATTAGATCGATCGAAAACTTGAATGAATGCACTATGTCCAATTATCTAACTGCCACTTGTTCCGTCCTTTGCGCTTGGGCTTGAATTAAATGGCTGAAGTCTCGGACAATACCCTGCTTGAAATGTTCATTTAATTACATAGGATTTCGGGAGATTTAAATGCAATCAGGATTATTTAAATGGTATAATCATGAAGCACATCAAACATACATATTTTCATTTGACATTATGTAAATGTGTTGGCCTTTGGGGAACATAAACATCATATAACACATTAACATTGGTTGCATGGGTTACAACACCCTTTTGTGAGAGAGCCCCAATCCGCAGTAGGCTGCGTAACATCGAAGTGTGCGACTCAGGACCTGGCAGTACGACAAGTTGGACCAGCCCAGACTGGTGGCAGTGGTTCGAGGTGCGCGCAACTGCGACGTGCACCAGCAGCTGCAGGACGCACGAAGGGGTTCCAGTTCGGGTGGACATCTTGTCCCCTCCAGCAGTTGGTGCCTTTTCCATTCCGTTTGCCCTTCTTTGTCTGAGGGGGGCCAGTTCCCTCTTGAAACAATTATCAAGAACGGGTGACCAGTTTCTGCCATGGCTTCTGACAATCTCTGATCCAACAAAAAGGGTAGAGGACTCCCACTCAACAAACGGGATTCTTTTTGGAGAGGGCGGCCCTTTAGAATCAAAGTGACAAAACTGGAAGCCCGCAGCGACAACAGGGGTTGCCAAAGGACATGGCCACGGACCTCCTCAAGGCCTGCGCCATCCCGGAGCCCTGGAGCTTCGTGACTCGGAGTTCTTTGCGAGCGGAGTCAAAGGTGACGGAGGCATTTCAACCGTTTTGAGAGCCATATAAACTACGACTTTCATTTTGAGGATGGTCCCATTTTGGTGTGTTTCACATTTGTTCCAGGCTCTACTTTGTCTAGGATTTCAAAGGTCCTCAGGGTTGTAGCGGGGGTACCCCCCCGCTCAAAAGAATAGTTTCCTCTTGGTTTCAAACCCAACAAGGGTCCTCAAGAAAGACACACCCACCTAGGTGTGTCTTAAATGACCGAGTTCGTTCTTGGATGGCTAAGGGAAACCAGCAGGATACAATTTTCGTCTAGAAAAACCCTTCCAACTCTGGGGAAAGTTGTAATTTCCTGGTCCAGTGGTTCCTTTGCTTTTTGCATTTTTTTGGGAGGGGTTATCAGACTCGACCAACGAGAAAAAGTACACTTCGTCCATGATGTGCCCATTGGCCAAGGAGATCCTGACGAACCTGGACATCTACGGAAGTCGTGCAGGCGCAACATCTCTCTTGCTGAAAGGGAGGCAAGGGCTTGGATTTGGACCCCAAGGGAGCTCCCAGTTTCAGTTGTTGTTTGTGGCATCTTCTTGTTTTCATGGCCCAAGTGCTGGAGGAATCCCAAACGCAATGTGCTCCATATGAAGTTTTCCTTGAATTACACCGGTTCATAGGGTGATCTCAGTAGCATCCCACTTCCCAAGCTTTTCACCTCCATTCTGTTCAGGATCCCTCTTCTTCAGATGGATGCAACCTGGGAAATGGGAAGATGGGTGAAGGGAACAATGGGTGAAGGGAATAGCAAAGGAATCACCCCTTGGATTGGTGGCGGAATCATCTTGTTTTGCCATTTCAAATATGATTTATTCATATGTCAAGGTTGAGTAAATTCTGACCCAGAATCCGGGCGTACTGTTTTTGGGTGCCTTGGGCCCCGGTTTCGGCGCCGTTTCGGGTGACTCAGGCGACCTGCTGCCGGAGGATGGCCAGCCCTTCCGGGCGCCGTCGCAGCTGGCCATCGACTTCTTAGAGCGCGGGCCTCGGCTCGGACGCACGCGAGGCTTTCGCTTCACTTTCGCTTTGTCCCAGCAAAACCTCCCCCAAAGAGGGGGTGAATTGGGGAAGGACCAAAAAACCACCGGGTTCTTGGTAGGGGATGGAATCAAGTTGGGAGGTTTATTCCCATGTTCCCAAGGAGCAAGCAAGGGCGGATGCGGTGGAACTTACCCCTTGAGACTTGGGTTTGCATGTTGGTTCTCAGAAGGAATAAGGGAGCGACTCCAAACCAAACCATGCCTGGCGGTTGCCTTCAAAAGATCCCAAAGGTTCATGTCAACCCCCCCCCCGCCAGTTTGTGATTCTTAATGAGAACCAGCAAATTTGGGTGGGGTGTTTGGCCCCCTAATAGGAAACATTAAATTTGTGAAAAGCAGACTGTGCATTAGCTGAGACTGGCAGCGGAATCCTTTCAAGGTGCTCGCCCTGCAGATCAACATCGAACCACAAAGGCAACACCTTTTAGCAGAATCTGCTTTTGGGCATGGCCCCTCTTTTCCCACAAAGATGCTTAGGGACATACCCAGGCTTGCAGATGTAATCTCGTTGCTTTCCCATGGAAAACCCTTTGGTTTCGTGGGAGGGCCATCTTCAAAGAAAACCCCATGCCTCGCGTTCTTTGGCGTATTTTGCCCACTCAAGAGTTGACCCTGGCACATACCACATGGCAACCGTTGAAAACCGCAACTGCGACCAGGCAGGCGGATCTGCTGAAGGAGGCGTTGCCCAAGGCCTCGAAGACGCCGGCGCCGGGGGGAACCACACTCACCGCCTGCCTGCAGAAGGGCATGGAGCGAGAGGTGCTCGCAGAGGCAGTGCCTCGATAATAAAAATCGGGCAAAAAGCGGGAGTGTGTTTCCTCACTTTAAACGTGTGTCGCCGAATCATCAAGAGTTATCTTCAAGGACCCCCGAGGGTCGGGGATTGAAAGGGCCCTTGACCCTTAGGAGATGGAGCCAATACCAGAAATTGGCGAGATGAGGCACATTCATAATGAGCTCGAGCGGAGGAGCTCATATTCGTGTCTCTATATGTTCCCTGTTTGACCTGGGTTCGAACGAACCAAGCTTGCTCTCTGCCCCAAACCACAGCGTTTTCCTGCAAAATAAAGCAGCTCATTTGACAGCCTTTAACGGCTTCATCCTTCAACCCATGTTTCCCAAAAAGCCTGGAGAGCCTGCCTGTTGGGTTCGACCAAAACGGTCCTGGGCCTTGGCGTCAAATCATTATTTTGTTCCCCACATGCCTTAGGGTTTGGAAAATTGTCAGTTTCAAATGTTCAACTCTTATGGGTGTGGCACCATGTTGGAGGGCCCATGTTTGCCTGCTTGACCCATGTTGGGGAGTTTCCAAGCGAATCAACGTGATGTTATGGGCTCCGCTACGTTAAGATGCACCCAATGGCTCAGTATGTCCTTAATTGGCCTTTTTTTGGGGAAACATGGGGAGGGTGGGCCTTAAAACCCCATTAGTTTTGAGGCAAGCCCAACCTGATCTGAGGATAGCGTCTACTGCAGGAAGTGCAAGGAGCATAGGTGTCAGAGCAAGACGCTTGGCTTGCAATTGTTTGGGCGGCTCGCTGAATCATGCGAGCTCCCTGTGAGGGCTTTGCTAACTGACAGGGGGGGGGCCCTTTTAGTGGCTTGGTTTGATCCATTTTGTTGGACGAGATTTGGTCCTTGGAAAAGTATCCTGGTCAATGTGAAGAACGTCTCACCGCTGCTTGTCCAGAAGAACGAGCTAGGCCCTGTAGCTTTCGAGCGCAAAGTCGGAACGCAAACAACACAATATAGGAAATTGAAGCACCAGAGATTGATATAGAGATGGAGAGACAACATAGAGTGAAGCAAATGTTAAATGGTTACGTATTTACTGTTATTGCTGTATCATTACATTAACTATATTTTAATAGCAGCATTTTTTTCATTTGACAGCTTGAACAACCGATACCTACATTCACAGACCATGACTATTATTTATACAACAGCACTGATAAATTCATCAAACACTGTCAGCTTCGAATAATTTGTGTCAATATCATAGGCATGAAACATGAATTTATTAGTTTTTGCACTTCCCAAGGAGTCAATGGTGTTTTTTGGGAAGTTGTACTGCCCCTAATGACCTAATGATAATCAGGAACTTAAGTCCTCCCAGCACCAGCAAACAATTATGACCCCAGTTATTGATCAGGGGTCAACAGTTTAAAGACTTTTGAGGATGGTGCTGTAGAACCCTTTTATCCTCCACTTTATTGGAACGAGGGTACCGCTTGAAATCCTCGTCTCCAGTGGTGCCTCCTGTTTGCGGGCGGAGGGGGTTCCCTTTAAAAGGAAATGCGTTACAAGTGGCTGTAGAAAAGCAAGCTGACCTTTAAGGCTCAGTCAGCTGGAAGGATTATTGGCTTAGCTAGCTTTTGGAGGGTTTCTGGTTTCAGCCGAGGAAGCTGGATCTATGGTCGCTGCCTCCTGTGCTTGTGGTGCACTTGAAGCGATTCGGCCGTGAGAGGCGCGCAATCAAATCGCGGCGAGCACGCGAGTCGCTCTTTTGGCGGGAGCAAAGCACTTCATGAGAAGGTGTGTGCTTTCCTTGGCAATTCGAGAGAGCAATCAGTTTTACTCATCCTGGCGTGCTTCATGAATCTCTTCTTTTGTTGTTCAGGGTCACCATCTTGTTTGGTCACGGTTTCTCACGTGAACTGAGTATATATGACTGACTCCAAGTCTAAAGTAGGTTTGGGGAGGATATGGCGGGGCCACTCAAATTTCCCACAAGCACCAGAGGTTGAGTCAACCAACCCCCAAAAGGTGTCGGAGTACCCGTACTCCAAATGCCGGTTTGTTTACAGGATATTTTGCAAAAGCTGGTTTCCCGCTGTGAATGCCACCTTGTTTAGTCAGGCTTTAACATCATCCCCCCTGAAGCCTGGCAGCGCCTGGAGGCCTGCGTTTGTGACGCTGCTAGACAACCTGCAGTGGACTTGTTGTTTTTGGTGGGGGAATGGGCGTCTTCAGAGGGAGATTGCAAGAAACCGCGCAACGGTTTACACGTTTTGTGAGTTCCGTCTAGGCAAAATGGCATGTGTGGACTGCATGCAAAACGTAAACGTGTGTTCACAGCCTTGAGAAGCACGGTGAGGTGTTGCAAGGCGATGATTGTTCAAGAATCTGGCTGCTACACGCTTGAGTTGCACGCACACTCCGGAGCGCATGTTGGCATGATGACTAGCACGTGGTCCAGAGAAATTGACTTGTTCGATAGTTAGCTTGCCTTGCAACCCCCCCACCGCAGAACAGCCCCCTCCCCCTGCAGAACCTTCCCATGCTTTTGTCTTATACATCTACGCCTGCTAAACCTGCCTACGTAACATTGCAGACAAATGTCAAGAAAAAGCACGGTGTTCAGTGTCTTAGCGCGGGACCCAACATAGCGATGAATATTAAACAACATAACGAAGACTTTCTCTTTGCCTTCATTTTGTTGGTTGGACATAAACAAAATGATACACGCCATAGTTTGCTTTGATTGCTCCAAAAAACAGCTTTGGTAAATCAACCTGAGCATGCCAGTCTCAATTGCTCTCAGGTGACACTTCCAGGAGGTTTTGCCCAGGAAGTGTGCTTGTCCGTTTCTTGCTTGTAACTTCTTATACGAAATTCGCAGAGTCAAACATGGAGAAGGCCACCATCAAATCACACAATACCTTCGTCACATGGAATTGAATAGTTTTCACGCACAGCTCTACTTCCGCAAGTACTTTGGCGGTGAATCGCGTGCAACTGTACTTCAAAGGCAAATCCTAATTACAAGAGATACCGGGACCCAAGCAAAAGAACGAGCATGAAGCGCACGTTACATCCCCCCCATCCATCGCCCACCAACCCTGCCGAACAAGCAAGGGGCTTGTTCCAAACCTGCGAAACACGGGGTGCCACCTGAAACAAGTGAGTCGTTGGAGTATGGGGGATTTGGCAGCGCACGGGCCTCCGAACGTGCTTACAGGCTCGACGGGCCCCTGGTGAAGATTGGGTGTCCCGTTGACTTCTCCTTGGAGCTGGACCTCAAGGATCGCAAATTTGATGACGAGCTCACCTGGAAATAAAACGAGCTCACCGTGATGTCGGCCGTTCTTGCATTTCTCAAGTTTCAGGTGTTGGATTTATTGACTGAGATATGAGGCTGAACAATATTACACGCGTACGCTACACGCGTACGCGGGGGTTGAGCCGAGTTAAACCCAGGGGTGCTTGATTGCCATGAACAGGGTTTTGTTGTTTATGTTCCGTCGGGCCTGGAACGACCAACTCTTTTTGGCCCGCAAACAACATTTTCCATTTTCTTGATAGGGACCATGTTAGTGTGGGGCAACCGAAAGGTTTGGATTTGTTTGGCCATTGAACGTTAGGTTCCCCCAGCAATGTGTGCTCTTTGGCTTTCCTTTAAAGCAAATCCGAAAGAGCAGTACCTTCCAAACGTCAAACACTCTACGGTGACGACGTTAAAATATATCGGGGCCGGGCCAGGGCTTCAGTGATTCAGGGCTGGGAGGTGGTGTCAAACCAGTTGTTCAAACCGGAGATTTCAAGCGGCTGGCAGGGCCACCCAACCCTTCACGGGCCCTGGAGGTAGTATGAACGATTTGTTTTAGCACAAGACGTGGCCCTTGGCAACACCTGCTTCGTGCTTGCTGCCCACCAAGCTGCACGTCAGCCTTCCAGCCTTCCAGCTCTTGAGCTTTCAGCCTCCAGCTTCCAGCCCGAACAAATTTCCGGATTGGCGAGCCAGGCCGAAGGCCATCCTTTCGAGGAATAACGCAAAGTACCTGTTCAAATCGGATGTTTAAATTGGTTGGCCAGGTCGGTAACCCTTGAGGAGGTAGTATCAAGTCCTAGTTGGTCTATTTAGGTGTCCGGACAATAGAACAGAGAAGCCGTATAGCATAGAAATTGCTTGTTTGGAAAAGAAACATGGCAGTTCTGGGCGCCTGGTTTGAGTCGCAGCGTCATGAGCTTTTGTGTAAGGCATATGATGAACACATGTTGGTTTCTTGGGCGCTTCTGAAAACCAAATCTCGCCCAGGACTACCTCTGCAGGAAAGGTGTAGAAAGAACTCGATATCAACTCTTCGGGGTGGTCAACCACCATGGCAACGTCGGTGGCGGTCACTACACAGCCCATGCGGCGCTTGGCCTATAGAGACTGGTGGGTCGCTTTTCCAAGAGGGCATATTGGTCAATTGAGCAATTGAGGTTTGCAAAGCTGATTTGATGCGAAACAACCCTCTTTTGTGTATTTCCTCAAAAGGACATCACAAGGTGATGGATGTCCATCCCGTATATCCGCTTAGTACGGCATGAGGAGGGAGTTGGGAGGGCCTATCACCCGCAAGTAGGTTCAATCGGTTAGAATTGGACTGCAAAAAAACGCAGCAACAGATCTGCAATGTCGAAAAGACAGAGAAGGAGATTTACCTGCACAAATTATGGCGAACTCGCCTTGGGGGTCAAAGCAAGCTCACCTGAGAGAATGGTCCTTGAGGGGTCCCTAAGTAATTTGCCCAAATGGTTACCAATTTTGCTTGATCTGACAGCTGTGTCATGGTCGTCGGCCTTTCCGTGGTGGTAGTGGTGGTGGCGGCAGCGGTGGTGGTGGTGGTGCTGCTGCTGCTGCTGCCGCTGCTGCTCCTGCTGCTGCTGCCGCTTTGCAAGGGCTTTGGTCATCGTGTCGATGTTGTTTTTGTCGTCATGTGCATCGTGTCGTCATCACATTGGTTGTCCGATGTGTATACAATGCTTTCTTTGAAAGCTGGATGTTACCACGCGCTGCAGTTGGTGACGCCACCAAGCGGCCCTCTGGAACTGGGTGATTGGTTCAACTTCAACGACTCCATTGTGAGCCAGGCGCGGCCCGTCAAGAGAGAGAGAGAGAGAGCGACAGAGTGCTGCATGGCCACATTCGAATATTGAGTTCCACTCACAACGCGGATCTCCTTAAATGTTTCATATCTTTTGGGGTACGCTTATATAGACATAAACAGAGTCTGAAAACTTTGTTTTGTCCCAGAAACTGGGTTGCTTTCGTCTCAATGATGGGTTCACCAACGGATTCACCTTCTTTCACTACGGAGCAAAACAATGTACACCTGTACCAGGGTCATTGGAGGATTGAACTTGATGAGGTCTTCATCAGCGTGTGGGCACGCTTTTATCTGGTCGACGTTTGCGATGGTTGCTCTGGTGTTTGTATCTTCTGGTTTGGGGCAACTATGGGTGAACAACCTGGCACAGGTATCATAACCACACACACACACACATCCGTGGAGTTGCATTTGTTTTCCTGTTGAACACGAATTTTGCCGGCTTTCCATGTTGAGACACACCCATGATTTGTATTCCTACGTTTCCATTCTCAAGTTATTTGGGCTTCGATGCTGATTCAAAGTCATAGCGGGGGGGGGGGGGCATGGGAGGTTTATGGTGTTTAACAGTCTTGACTGGCCCCTAATGGTCACTATTGGTCACTAGTTGTCACGAATCGTCTCTGCAATGGCTCCCCTTGTTATGGCCCTGAATCAGTATTTGGTTGCTGACAATGTTACTGGTAGCCTACTGTGGTTTTGGGGAGGACATACGTGGACAACTCCACAAAGCCAGGGCGACAACGAAATCAGCTTCGCATGTCCGGGGGAAACAATGTATGTTGTCCGGGGCTTGTTGTTTGCTTCTTCATGCAGCTGTTGGCTTTTGAGAGAAGCGCCAGGCGAGCGTGGAGGATTTGGACAAGGAGGCAGGGGCCGTGGTGCGGCCTTGCCAGGTGGCAATGTAGCCTTCAAGTGGCCCTATGTGCCATGGTCAGAGTTAATAGGGGTGCTTGCTTAATTTAGGGTCGGTCATGACCCCTGTTTTGCAGGGAGTTTTGACAACCATGACAAGGACTCCTATTGAGGGAACCATCACTACTGCGGCACATAAAAATCACCTTGTCCTTCCGCGGGCCGGTGTAGTTGTTTGGAGACAAGCGGAAGACAATGGACGATGGCTGGGCAACATGGCCAGGATTGAGCTTCCGTTAGCGGAAAGCTAAGGAAGACGTTTCAACAACAATGCGGTTAAACGTGCTTAAAAAAGCACCTGCTATGTACCCTTTCGCGTGGCTAGTGGTCTACTCCCTCCCACGTGGCCATGAAGCCCACCAGGTACACGATCTCGCTGAATTCTGGGTCGCAGATGCATTGGCTCCGCTCCAGGGACTTGCGACCTTTGTTGCTTCCATTTGTCTACCGGCCTTTTCAGCCTCGGCGCACCTGGAATGGCCGCCGGAGCTGCTGGCCCTCGGTGGCATCAAATCCTTCATGCCCTGGTTGACGAATGGGGGAGCGTGATGAATAGGGAGGACTTCCTCCAGGTGTATCATGACCGGCGCCCCTTCGACATGGGTGTCATGGACACGCGCGGAGTAGTGCGTCGAAGCAGTTCAGCGTGCCCATTGCTATTTGCATGGCGCAGAGATCTACCTCCCTGTCCGGCTTTTGTTGCTGGGGCTTCCTGATAGCAGTATTTGGGAGGCGGAGCAGAGTTTCATCCAGCGCGGCCGTGGCCCCAGCTCTGTCTCTGCCGTGGAGCAACGGGAGGAGGGCGATCAGTTGACGTTCTCAGACGGCGGCTCCCGCTTGAATTAGCTGCCGATCCCGTGCCGGCGAGCCTGATCAGAGTTGCACAGTGGATCCAGTCGGCCCTATAGTTGGTAGCCAAGGGAAACCATCATGTCAAATCTGAAGGTAAAACGCATGCTTACTTTGGTGGTGACTGGATCCACTGAGTTGGACAAAGCAATTTTGCCCATCGCCGTTGTTGACCAAGGTTTGCCCCTCTTACTGTCTGGGGAGTGAATTGAAGCACCTGCTGCGTACGTTCCAGGCTGCGTACGTGCTGTTCTTCCAGCAGCTTTGAGGTGGGCCGAAAGGGACAAGTCGGTTGCCACATCCGAAGAAATGGCTCAGGTCGGTCAGGCGCCCTCGCTTTCCAATGGTTTGCTTGACCTGCAGAATTTCCAGGCCTCCAGGTGCGCCCCCCTTTTAGGGAATTGTCTCCCTTTCTTCTCCCATGGAAATCCACGTTTGTTTTGGAGAGGGACTTGACGTCTTTGCCTGGAGTCTCAGACTTTGCTGCTTGCGGAGAGGGCGAAGTCTGCCTTCTTTGAGACCTAGTTGAAAAGTTTAGGAACTTGCACCAACTGGCTTGTACCCAAAATATGACCTTAGGCGATTCTAGTTTGCTGCACTAGGCGGGATTTTGCCCTGCGTGGGAGAACAAGCACCCTGAGGCAGAAGACAGCGGAAGGCAAGGCAATCAGCCCAAAATCCAAGAAGATAGTCTGGAGCTAATCTGAGCCGCTAAATTTGACAACTAAGGGAATGTCTCGCCTTTGAGTCATGTGCCCTTGTGGGGCAAAGGTGTGTATGTGTCCATAATTTGGTGCTTGAGTTCCATCGGGTGATGTTCTGTTGCAAGGTGAATCATTGGGGCCCACCAGATTGAAAAACCACCTTCTGAGAAGGTTCCTTGCAAACTTTCCTTCCAGGAGGCTCATGTTCGGGTCCTTTGGACATTACTATTTTTCCAAGTTTGTGTGTTTTTGTTGGGAGGCGTTTGGTTGCTTGCCTATGTTCGAACCCCACGGCAAGTCTCAAAGTGCATTGCAGGCCTGGACGCTAAGCACCGTGAGATGATGGCACGGCATCGGAAGCAAAAGAAAAGGCCCCCTGTGATTTTGCACGGGTTCAAGGACATACTGTGAATGGAATCCACAATGCACACCAGCTGGCTGAAACCCAATTTCCGGGAGAAACCACCAAGTGGTGCGAAGTGGATTTTGTCCATCACACTATAACAGTAAGAGGACATCGTGTGTCCAAGCCTTCGCATGCGCAATGGCAATGCTTTCTTGTCTTCGCGCCGATGGGAGCATCTTCAGTGGGTGCGCCAAAACGATTCGAGCGATGCCAGGAGGCAATGTCCTTTCCGGAAGGACAAAACCAGCCTTTGGCGCTCAGAGTCTTTTCACCGATGCGTCTACCTCAAATGGATTTAATGTAGACTGTCTTTTTCAGAGAACCTGTGGTTTCAGAAGGGGCTTTGTCCCTGCAGCCTTGGAGAAGCCTTTCACAAGCCTACCGAGACTTCCTTGTTTTTACATTTGGCATTGAGATTCCCCGCAAACGTACGGGGAGTTTATGTGGAATAGCTTACCCCAGCCCAAGCAACTCATGTGCTTTGGCGGCCTCAATCATGGGTTGGGGTTTTCTCGGTAGCCTTCCTCACGGCTTTTGCATGTATCTCACGTGGTCTGATTGAGTTGTAGGCGCCTCTGCCCAAACAGCTGTCAACGTGGGTCTTGCGAAGAGTGCCATTTGTGAGATACCTAGCAGCGTGTTGCCTATATATGCCATTGCAAAACACCTTTTTGCCTGGGGTTGGTATGGATAGTCATCAACGCCTGGTAGGGAGGTTTCTGTCAAATAACGACACATGTTTTGACCATGGAATATCCCAGCTGCTATTAGAGTCTCCTTTGATGCTAACCTCGTTAAAGCAAAACAATCGAATAGATACAGGCTATAGATACAGGCTGCAGAATGGGAATCTACCCCTTGTAGAATTGCATTCAGAGACCAGATCCGCAGACGCCATCTCACATTCGCCGGTCGCCCCTCCCCAAAAGGCTTCGAGGCGCTTGCTGGATGCCCCGCGCGTAGTGCGCACTTCGCGCATCAAAAGCCGGGAAGTGATCAGGGTTGCTCTTTTAAGACGTAGTATCAAACAAAGTCTAGGTGTTCTATGCCAAGCTTGTTTCAAATAAGGTGACAAAAGGGCAACCCTGACAGAGACATGCAAGTTGCAAGAGAGATGTGCAGCAATCGAGAAAGGAAGTCCACTTCGACACCGGGCAGCCTTTGACCCTCTCACAAAAGCAAGGGGCCCAATCATAGTTTTTATGGTTAAAATTCCTTCCTTTCCTCTATGTCCCAAACCACAAATTGCCAATAACCGCTGGTGTAAACTGAAACTGTTGCAGAATGTGGATGGTCATCCCTGGGTAGCGCACGAGCGGATAGACTTACAAACATTCGGGCAGCGCCCGAAGCACATTTCCAGATCATTACAGTTGTCCCATATTAATCTGGAGGGCCATGCGGCCACACAAATAGTAATCAACGGATTCCTGCTAAACTGAATCAACGCCTCATTACGAGAGGAACCACGCCCGATTAGTACAGTCGCCCTCATATCACTGCCAAGTTGGCATTATCACCTTGGTTGTGTGGTTGTCTATTTTACTGTTGCAGAGAAAGTGTTATTTTTCAGAATAATTTCAATGACGTTTAACCTTGCCAAACTGCCCAAGCCTGAATAATTGTAAACGCTTCGCGTTGCCCGCCTCGGCCCAGCCTAGTTTGAGGGAAGGGTCAGGAACACCGAAATCCAGTGTTGGGAAGGTCCGAATACCTGAAGCTGGCTCCAGACAAGTCAGACAAGCCGGCCTCGCCTGGTTGGGCTGGGCCACAGGCTAGTCTCAGACACATCAGATAAGCCTGCGCTGGGCCTGAAGCTAGTCTCGGGCAGCTTGGCTGGACCTTGCTTGCGTGGGTTGTTGGTTGAGCTGAAGCTAGTTTACGGCGGGCTGGGCAGCCGCACTGAGGGGGCTGGGCTATGGCTGGGCTGGGCCTGAGGCCAGTTTCAGACACGTCAGACAGGCCTGGCCAGCAGGCGGACTGGGCTGGGCTAGACGCTAGTTGAGCCCAGGCTGGTGAGGCCCAGTCTCGGCGCTAGATAGGCTGAGGCCTGCGAGTCTCAAACCGGGTGGGCTTGGGTGGGGTTGGCTTAGGCGGGTTGCTGGTTGGGCTGGGCCTGAAGCTAGTCTCAGCCACGAGGCTGCGAAGCCATGGGTGGTGCTGGGCAGCTGGATTATGGTGTTGGTTGCGCCTGGAACTTCGGCTGGCTGGGCTGAGCTGTGCTTGGGCGGGTTGCTGGATGGGCTGAGGCTGGGTAGCGAGTTGCTGGCTAGACACGTAAGACACGCCAGCAGGCGGGCTGAGGGACTGGGCCTGAGGCTAGTCTCAGGCTGGCATACCTTGAGACCAGTCTCAGACTGCGCCGAAGGGGCCTGGTCAGCCTGGGCTGCTGAGTAGCTGGCATAGCTTGAGACCAGTCTCAGAGGCCAGTCTCAGACATGTTAGACAAACCTGACCTTGGCACACTGGGCTGAGCCTGCTGGTGGGCTGGGAGCTGGGGGCCGGTAGTGGCTGGCATGCCCTGAGATGCGCTGGGGCCTGGGCTGGGCAGGCTTTGGGCTGGGCCTGAAGCTAGTCTCAGCCACGAGGCTGCGAAGCCATGGGTGGGTTGCTGGCTGCCGGGCAGCCGGACGCTGGTTGTGCCTGGAACTTGGGCTGGGCGGGCTGGGCTGAGCTGTGCTTGGGCGGGTTGCTGGATGGGCAAGGCCTGTTTCATACACACTTGGGCCCGAGGCTGGGTGGCGAGTTGGCTGGGCTGGGCCTGAGGCCAGTCTCAGGCTGGCGTACTTTGAGACGGGGCTGGGCCTGCTGGATGGCTTGGGGCCAGACGCAAGCAGGAGGGGCTGAGTTGCTTGGGCAGCCGGACTGAGGGGGCTGGGGCACGTCAGACGGGCTTGGTGGCTGGCATAGCTTGAGACCAGTTTCAGACACGTGAGACTGGGTCGTTGGCGTTAGACAAACCTGACCTTGGGGCCGGCCTAGGGCCTGGGCTGGGCGCTGGGCTGGGCTTGCTGGATGACTTGGGGTAGGCCTGTTTCAGACAAGCTTGGGCCTGAGGCTGGGTGGGGCTGACAGGCCTGGCCAGCAGGCGGGTTGCTGGTTGGGCTGGGCCTGAGCCTAGTCTCAGACACGTCAGGCAGGCCTGGCCACCAGGAGGTCATGCTTTTCAGGACAAAAAAGCAATTTTTTAGTGATTTTCGCAATTGTCAGCACATTTTCGACAAAAATGGACCCATGGAGCTGGACGCCGACGAACCCCGAAAATTTCAAGGCCCGCCGGACAGGATTTTGGGCCAGCCGACATGGGTGGGGGGGGGTGGGGGGGGGGGGCGGCCCGGCAAAATTTTGGTTGGGGAGGGGGTTGGGGGAGGGGAAAAGCGAAGATTCTCTTTGGAGAAGAGATCTGAGCGCCCTTGGCCCCTTTGGGGCCGAGGCGAATTTCAGGTGAACATCGTCGCAGGCAGCGCAGCGATCTCTGCTTGCGCCCACGGTGCAGGTGCGGCAATGGGTTGCGGGCTAGGGTCTTTGCATGTTCCTCTTCGGAAGGTTTAAACATCAGCTTTTGGACGACGTTAAAGCGACTTGTTCTTTAGTGGAGTGATGCTTGAAGTGATATGAGTAGTCTTGTTGCTTGGACCATGTGCGCCATTGTTGAAGAACCCGGTTTGGAAGAGATGGTCATCCACCTCTTGCGGACCCCGCATTCAAGTATAAGTAGAACCTTGTGCATCCAGATTGAAGGGGGGTTGCTCTGAATGGTCTTCAACACCTTAGGGATTTTAGACAACTATTTTACTTTCCCTCCCATCTACTAGCATGACCAGAAAGTCTGTATTCTAATTGCAGCTGTTTCTTACACATAGGGTATCATGGGACACGGGCGCCGTGATCGACCAATCTGGGTGAGGTCCTGTTTTGGGGTACCACTGTTGTAGAGCTCTATGCAGAGCTCCTCTCTGGCCTCCCCGTGGTTTTAGGGGGATCCAGGGTTAGAGCGGGTACTGCTGGGGGGAACTGCTGTAGCTTCTCAGGGCACCAAACGCAAATGAATGGGGCACACATGTTGTCCATGGAAATGATCAAGGCATGTACACCTTGCCATCCCCAATCCGCAGAGGGTTCTAAACCACACCTTTAGTATGTGTTGTAGGTGTCCTCAAGTGTAAGGGCTCTTCGATTTGATTGGGGGTGCCCTGTGCATCCTCGCTGCATGACAACCATGCTGGAAAGGACAAGAGTTTCTTGTATTTTCCTTGTTGTGTGGTTTAGACATCACCGTTGGGCTCTTTGAAGTTGGTTTCCTTTGGCTTGTGATGCTTAAAGGGGGCCAGAAGCAGGGTATCCACATGAGCAAATTACTGGAAGTCTCTCATTAGTTGAGGAGTTCAGGCGGAGCCCGCCCAGTAAACCGAAAAAAAGGAGGGGGCCCACCCTGGGGAAGCCTTCGTCATATTCGGTGCTCAACTAGTCAACCAAAGAAGGGGTCGCCTTTTGATCCCCTTATTCCCCCTTATTGTTTTGGTGGTTTCCCCTCAACTGGTCAACCACAACACGTGCCTGTTGTCACGAGTGGTTTTCTCACGAATTGACCCTTGTCAAATCCCAAAAAGCGTTCCAGCATACCCCCAAACTGTCTCATGGGGTAATCAAAAGCATTCCTCGCACAAATTGTGTGGGTATGTGTCGAAATAAGAGGAGCTCTCAAGGATTGGTGGTTTCCTTCTGGTTTCCCTTCAAGCCAACCCCAAAAAGGGCCCCTCAACAAAGACACACCTATATATATATATATCTATTTGGTTCAGGCCACTGAAACCCCTGAACCCGGAAAGAGGGTAGGGAACACCCCCAGGCTGGCAGCTGGCACTGGCCGCTTCTCCGGTCTCAGCCGGCCTGCAGTCCCTTGGACTTGAGCAATCTACGTCAAACGAACGGATCGAACACCGTTTGAAGGACAGAAGCCTTGCTCTTTGGTTCGGCCTTTGCCTTGCTAGTCGAATTACTTCAACTTTTTGTGGGCGACTTG